CGCCCTCCACCACGGGTACGGGGCTTCTCTGAAGCATAGGCGGAGGACCGGTATTACGTTGACGTGCCCTTCCAGGTATCCCCACAAGACGTTGCTGTTGGGCATCCGTTTCGACCTTCCTGCCCTCTTCCCCACCCCACCCCAATGAGGACCATCATAGACCTCACCAGTGAGAATCATCACGGGCCTCACAGCCACTGCGGCTGCCATCATTGGGGCCGCTTGGGTCGCCCTCTCCACTAATACACCAATACCTTACAGCATCAGTTGCCAATGGAGGGGGCCGCGGACCTCCCTACAGCCCCTCGGCCACCGAAAACGGCCGTAGGGAGGGGTCCAAACGTACCTCCACATTCGTACACCTTTACATCAATCATCCAATCAACCAATTCCTCATATTCCTCCTCCTCCACCAACTCCCGCTTTCTCTGCATCCAGCCCACCTCCTTCTCCTCCTCCTCCTCCTCATTCACTCCTCCTCCTCCTCCTCCTCCTCCTCGTCCTCCTCCCTCTCCTCCTCCCCCCTCCTCCCCTCCTCCTCCTCCTCCTCCGCCTCCTCCTCCTCCTCTTCCTCCTCGTCTTTCTCCTCCCTCCACCCTTTGCGCTCCGACATCCGGGGCTCACATATTTTCACACTTGGCGTTTTCTCCCAGTTTCGGGTCCCAGGACCATCAAACTTCGATCCAGATCGACACATGAAAAAGAACATTTGGATCTGGGAGTGCGGTTGTAATTCCTCCCCGCGATGCCGCAGATTCTTCGCGACGTCGGGTCGCTGGGCCCTCCCGTCTCCCCCTCCCCCCCTCTCCCCTGCATCACTCCCGCTCTCCCCGTGTGGGGGGGGGGGGGGGGGGCGCGCCGCCGCGCATCGCGCTCTTCGGCGAGCCAAGCCCAAGGGGGCCGACGATCGGGCCACCCGCGAGTCGGCGAGCGCGAGGCAGGCGTGGAGAAACCTCCTCGCCTGGCCGTGCCCGCTCTCCTCTCTGTTCTTTTCGTGACCTTTGGCAGGGCGTTCGGTGGCTGGTGGCAGAAGTCCCGCGGGCACCACCCAGCCCACCCTCTGCGTGCGAGAACAGCGAGACGCGTTCTCCGACGTTCGGCGACGACCACACCCCCTTCCCCAGCGGACGCCACGACCCCCAACGAGCCGAAGCCCGAATGCGCGGAGCAAGGGGCCGCGGGCCTCAAGCAGCTTGTGGAGACCTCGGCTGGGCGGTCCCATCGGCGCGTGGGGCGGCCAGGGTCCACGAAGGGACAGGCGGGATGATGATGATGAGGAGGAGTAGGAAGAGGAGGAGGAGGAGGAGGAGGAGGAGAAGGAGGAGGAGGGGGAGGAGGGGAGGAGGGGAGGAGGAGGGGCCAAGCAAGTCCGAGCCGATTTGGCAAGACGGGGATGTTCGCTCAAGGGTTGCAGCTCAGGAGATAACGTAGGCATCGGCAGCGTCGGAGCCTCGCGTCCAGTTGCTGTCCTCACGCAGCGGCTCCTTTCGGCCAGGCACCGAGCGAACATGATCAAGCGAGTAGTGACGACGGGCCGAAGGAGCATTGTATTGTCCTGAACAGGCTGGCTACCGCAGGCTCTCTGGGGTCTGGAAGCCCAGGGTGCAAGTCCGACCTTGGTATTGGAGGCTCGGACGGCCATGGCAGGCATGGTGGGAAGGTTAGAAGGGGAGCCTGTGCCACCAAGAAACTGCGGTGCGCTTCTCAAGAGCTCGACGCGCTTGCAATTTCAGTGGTTGCGCCATCTTCCGTCCTTGCACACGGTCGAATGAACACTGTCTCCGCGTCACGTTTGGGCGGGCTCTTGGGCGACTGCAGCACGCACACACCCGCTGGACAAGAAACTGACGGTCGTGTTGCGGCCGCTGCCTCCTGTCTCCTGGAAGCGGGTTGGAACCTTCAGGGACCGGCCACCTGGATAGCACCTGATGGCTAGGTGTTCCATGTTTCGACCTGCGACCGAGAACGCCTTACCCTTGACCCCCATTGAGGCCGTTGCTCTGCTGACTTTCAAGAAGGCCTGTGAACACAGTCGTGGCCACGTATCGGCAGGGCGAGCTGACACGTTCATTCCTTGAAGAAGCTGATTAAAAGCGGAACTGACGAGAGTACGACCAATCTTCGGCTTTAGAAATTCTTGGTTGGGGCACCCTTTGGCCGGCACTCAGGCACTTCTGGGTCCACTCTTCACTTTTGAAAACTCCTTCCAAGTCCTTCGCTTGTTCCTCATCAGTGAACTCGCAAAACTGGGACAGATCGGGTGGCGCAGATTTGGCCGCCTCTGGAATGACATGCTTCGCCGTCTCAGAAAACTCCATATGTAGCTGTTCCACCTCTGCCTTCTTCGCAGCAGTCTCATCCTGACGCATCGCAACCGACTCTTTGAAAACCATTAGGCTGCTTCTGTTTCTCCTCGAGCTCATCCTGCATATTTTGCCATGCAATCTGAGCCCTGCTGAGATCCTGAACCGCTCGCCGATGGCCCGTTGTCGGTGATTGAAGCTGCTTGTGTTGGCTGACCAGCTCCTTGACACGATCCTCGATCGGCTTTTTGAGCGTCTCGTCACTGGTCCGGAGACGTTTGAGCACATCCTCGAGTTCATTAAATTCCTGCATGCTGGTGTATCGCCGTAAATTGTCAGACACATCTGTTTGATCGCAATCGTCGTTCTTGGGAGACTCGGTGACAAGCTATGGGGCCTTGGCCCCTGTACCCTTCGCAGCTGGGGCAGTGGGAGACACCGACGGCTTGGTAGACTGTACTGCCTGGAGCACCTGCGCAAGCTGGGATTCGAGCCTTTGAAACCTGCTCGCATCTCCGCTGCTGCTACTCTGGCTGCCTTTTTTTGTTCGGTGTTCTTCACGCCTTTGCCTTCCCTTCTCTGCAGGGCCGCTGGCTGCCCAGAGAGCTGCGTTCTCCTTCGCTTTGTTTGCAATCGCGTTCGGGGCTGAGTTACCGCACTGTCATACCAATGTGCTGGTCCAGTTCTGTGCAGCGCCGCATTTGCTGCATCCGCACACGGGATACCTCGGTCCTGGAAACACCGCCGTCTCCTGCATTCCCGGATAGCTCTCTGAGAGATAAGAGGGCTTCATATTAGAAGCCGGCAGCGCAAGGTAGACCAGCTCCTCTCCAAGGCTCCCGGGCAGCCATTATCGCAGCGATCTGCTTGACCCTCTAGCGTGTCCCGGAAAACATTTCCCTCCTCGTTCCCAATACGCGTGGCTGAAGCCTTTTCCGTAGGTCCTTCGAAGCTCTTTCGAAGCTCCCCCGAAGCTCGCTTTTCGAAGCTTGCAAGCTCTCCAGGCATGCTTTCCAGCGCCCTGGCAAACGTCTCCCACAAGCGTTTCCTAAGCTTGCAAGCTCCCCAGGCACTGTTTCCAGCGCCCTCCATCAGCGTTCTACGCGCTTTGGACTGCGTCGCTATCTGGGTTTGGGCTGCACAAGAGGCAGGCCTCGGCACCATGGACTCGTCGTAATGTCTCGCGAAGGATGCGCGGGCTGAAGCCGCAATACCGTATCAGAAAACAAGATCGATGGTCTTGCCATCAAGGGAGGTTGCGAAGGTGTTGCCTCCGGGACCGTGGCGAAGGCCGCAGACCCCTCTCGCCAGAGAGATTCCTGCCCAGAGCCACCGCTACGGACCAGAGCAAAAATGGCTACGGAGGAGGAGGAGGAGGAGGAGGAAGAGGAGGAGGAGGAGGAGGAGGGGGAGGAGGAGGAGGAGGAGGGAGAGGGGGCAGAGGAGGAGATGAGTGGTAAAAGGAGGAGGGGAGGAGGGGAAGGGGGAGGACGAAGAGGAGAGGGGGGGGAGGAGGAGGGGGGGGGCAGGGGAGGGGAGGTGGGTTTGTGAGGAGGAGGAGGAGGAGAAGCAGGAGGAGGACTCTTTGGACTCTTTGTAAAGCACAACGTGCTGAGGAAGAGGGAAAGAGAGGGAAGGAGGAAAGAAAGCCAGAATCTCCAGAGGCGACCCTAAGGGTCCCTTCCCCACAGCCCTTCACCCCCTCCACAAGGAGGGTGGGAAGAGGTCGCCTCAAATGGCGGGGTGGTTTCTGGCTGTCGCTTAACCTCAGCACGATGTGCAGCTGCGGACCACACCCGCGCGTGAGCGATGTCTCGTGCCAACATCGAGGCGCCAGAATAAAAAGAGAAGAGCCCCTTCTTAATGCGCCCTAAATTCTCCCGACATTTGCGAATGATGAGATGGCACTCTTGAACGAGCTGGCGGCCATCCGTAGTGGCCGTGCGACCACATCAAACACAACAGTACAATTCCTACACATCCCAGCGGGCCAAGGAGTGGGATCCATGAAGAACGGTCCCGCGCACCTCCACGGGACCCCGAACCTGGAGGACCACATCCCTGGGAAAATCAGCCAGGACGTTTGAAACGCAACTGGTCTTACAGATATCAACAAGGGCTTCCATGGACGAGAGAGACCCGCACTTGCAGCAACGAAGAAGCCAGCCAATCGCCTCAAAGCGGTGGGCGGACTTCCGAACGGCGACCTCAAATTTGGAGCCCTTCCTGGCCACCTCAGGGCCAGCGCAGACTTTGTCCAAGGGGTCCGTACGAGGATCGGCAGCGGCAGCGTCGGTCAAGGAACTTCGGGCGCTGCGCCGCACCAAGGCAGCGGTGGCATCCCAGAGATCAGTCCTGGGTTCAGAGCCGACCAGGCTGAGAGACCGGGCCCTGGATGCTGCGTCCACAGCCGCTTCGTCAGCAAGCCTGTTTCCGGCCGCCAAAGACTTCTCATGATCAGTTGAGTCGGGATGGCGGAGGAGGAGGAGGAGGAGGAACAGGAGGAAGGAGGAGGAGGAGGAGGGCGAGGAGGGCGAGGAGGAGGAGGGCGAGGAGGAGGAGGAGGAGGAGGAGGAGGAGAGAGGAGGGCGAGGAGGAGGAGGGCGAGGAGGAGGAGGGCGAGGAGGGGAGGGAGAGGAGGAGGAGGAGGAGGAGGAGGAGGAGGAGGAGGAGGAGGAGGAGGGCGAGGCCCGAGGCGGGCACCCGTGACGGCTCGCTTCGTCTTCGTCGACTGGCTGAGGCAGACCCGGTGCGCCTGGCGCCCGGCCCCCCCCCCGTGTCGCTCGGGGGAGAGAGGAGGGGAGGAGTCGGTGTGCCGGGGCCCTCAAGCAGGGGGCCAACTGCGAACCCCAATTACCCCACCCTCCCCCGCAGAAATCGTGGGGGGTAGGGGTAGGGGTCGCAGTTGGCCCCCTTATCAAGGCTCAGGGCAAGACGCCAACACCATGTGTGAAGAGCATGCCACGCCGGGATCTCGGGGACTGCGGTTTACCCCCTCCCTCCTCCCTGCCTCGCTCCCCTCCGCTAAGAGGGCCCCAGGAGACACCAACAGTAACCCGGCGACGTGCCGAACCTTTTTGTTCCTGAACGTGGCGCCTATACCCAAGACCGCTCAATGCAAACAAACATGCGCCATGTGGAAAAGACCTGGGTGCGCAGGAGCACCCGTCCGTGAGCGGGGAGCCACTAGATCTCGGCTGGGTCTGCGTAGCCCTCCAATCCGCTGGGCCTCCCAGGGAGGGGCATCGAAGGCAGCGAGGGGCAGCGAGCGGCGACTGCAGTCCCTAACGGGCTGGTCGGGCGGGCAGGCCCCGACGGGCGGGTCGAGCGGGCGGGTCGTTGAAGCGTAAATTCTGCTTGAACCGCCAGGCAATATGTAGCGGGAGCACTATTCCTGAGTGTCGAGGGGCGGCATCTTAATAAATTGTAAAGAATTATCAAGCGGGAGCCGCGATTCGGTGGTAAGTTGCGAGGAAGTCCCATACGAGAGCGCGATTCTTCAATAACTTGTGAGGAAATATCAAGCGGGAGCCGCGATCTGGCGGTAGATTGCAAGGACGTCCAAAGCGAGAGCGCGATTCTTCAATAAATTGTGAGGAAATAAAAGGCGGGAGCCGCTGTTGTTGTAAACCGGGGGCCAACGACACAATTTGACCCTCAAGACGTTCCCTGATAAAGAAAACAAAATGCGAGCCCCGGGAAGGGCACTCCAATCGAAAAAACAATGTGCACCGGACGGGGGGGATCAACAATAATTCTTCTTCAGAATGGAGAGTTCAACAACAGGAAAACAGCAACAAAAATAATAATACTAAGAGCGCAACAAGCAGAATCCTCACCACGGATTCTCCCTTCAGCCACGCACCCATGGACATTGAATGACCGCTCGGCCCCCTCACTCTGACCTTGCTACGTACCCAACCCATCGGCACCAAAGGATGATCTAAGTGTCAGTGCAGTTGTTTTCGCTCGGACCGAGCGGCGGTCGAAACTGCGGTGCAGTCCCAGGGCCCTAGGACTAGGGCCAAAACGGCGGCGGGCAGCGTGCATGCCACAAACATGAATATAAGAAGTGCTGGGCATGGCCCTGCAGGATATGATGACTCATGCATACACATCATGCGCACACGGTGGCACGGGCGGCAGAGGGGCAGGGGAGTGCACTCTTCACACTGGGTGAGTACAATGCTGCCCAGATGCCGCTCCCTACGAACGGGAAGCGCTGCACGCAGTTATCGTGTATGTCGGCCCACAAACCGATACACCTCAAGCAAAGTGCGGCCTGAGGCTCAAACTATAAATATAAAATATGAATATCTAGATTCACTAATCCAGACTGTCAACTCAAAGGATGTTCATACATCACCGTAGCCCACACTAGGTCCATCAGCGGCTGCAATCAGGACCTCACGGGCTCGCAGGCCCTGGAACGGCGACCCGACGCTGGGCCTTCCGCTCCTTGGCTCTCTCACGCTGTCCGCGGCGCAGCCGCAGACGGTGTGCCTCCTCATCCTCTTGCTCAGCAGTAGGCACCATGCTGAACAGTCCGTGGCGGAGGAACTGCGATAGCACCTCGTTAGGCTGCACGGCCTTTGTCAGCACGTCCGCTAGCATGTGGCTATTGGGCAGCCACTTGAACTTGATGGCCTCCTGCTCTATCAAATCCTTGGCCACCAACAAGTCAATGAGGGTCTGCCGAGACACCGGCATCGAGCCGATCTTGGACGTGTGGTCGTAGAGCGACTTCGCGTCCGTCACCAGCGCCCCCGGAACCTTCAGCGCCAGCCTCCAGCCCCCTTGCAAGGGCGGCTCCCCGTGCAAGATTGCCTCAATCAGCAGCCTGAGGTAAAGCTGCCGATCCAAAGCCACGGACATAGCCGCAGACTCTGCGGCCATCGTAGATCCAACAACTCGTGTAATGGTACTGCTCTGGAACTCCACTAGACAACATACAGCTAGCTCCTTCAACACTCGGGTATCCGTAATCATACTCATGAACCCCATCTGGCTCTTACAGCCGGGTTCCTTCGCAAACGAAGCGTCCATAAGCGTGAGCACCTGCAAGCGCTCGATGTCCACACGGCGGATCCAGAGAGTCGCAAGACCTCTCTTGTCGTAGTCCTGAAGCCGATCGATGATGTCATTGAGCACTCGCAGGCGCAGTAACCTCCGACCCTTCGGATCCTTCTGTGCGAGCGCCGACACACTGTGCGCGAGCTGTGGTACCACGCGTGCGACAGGCCATCGCACCTTCTGGAGCAAGCTCCGGTAGTCGTGGTGCTCTTCGGGAGTCATCTCCCGCTCCTCGTCGTCACACCTTGCAAGGGGGTGCTTTGTCAGCTTGCCGATGTATTCGTGCATGCTGATCTCGATGTGATCGGGGTGGCGCCACCACTCCTCACCGAGATAGGCGACTGCCTCCTTGTCGTTGCCCTCCTTCCAGTGCTTGATGTTGAAACGCCTGTTGATATTCGCCTTCACCTCCTGGTACTGGGGGTCATGCGGGTCTCCAAACAGCATGCCGTCGTCGACGTGCAAGGTCAACATAGCAATCAACTTATCGTTCGCCCGATAAACGAAGACGGCTCGGGCACAGCGCAGCTCCACGAAGCCGACCTCGTCCGTCAGCACCTGGCGGGCTCGGAGATACCACAACCGAGGCGCCTCCGTCAAACCGTACGCCCCTTTCAGCAAACGAAGCAACGCATAAGGTCGCACGGCTGGCCATCCAGCACCGTCGACGGCTGGAAGCCCGTCCTTAGGAGCCCTCACATACAGCTCCCGCTCCAGCTTCAGCCCGGACAGGAACGCAGTCGCTACGTCGAAGCACTCGAATGTCCAATCCATCGCCATTGTGATAGACGCACACACCAGCACAGCCAAAGGGGAAGTAGTAGGCGAATCCGTCCTGAATCGACCAAGCTGCGGGTCGAGATGGCCAGGGATGATCAAGCGCGACTTCGCCTCCAACTCCAGCCCTCGCCCCCGGTTCGTGCGAACCGAACGCATGGGCACCGAGATGATCTTGTCCTTTGGGATGCTCTTCTCCTCCTCCTCGGTGACCAGCTCGACCGTGTTGTTGACGATCCATTGCCGCCACTCGGCGGCATCGGCCTCGTCGAACTTAGCCTTCTCGTGCTGGTTGAAGTGACGTGGGTCTAGCTCCTTCGCGTTCTGCTTCATCACGAGTGCGAACACGTCGTGCTCGTACTGGGCCTCCTGCAGCCATGCGTCATACACAGATGACACGTTGATCCATTCTTCGTAAGTCATCGGCTGCCGTACAAGACCCTCCGGAGTGTCCAAATAGCACACCCCTTGTGCCTGAGCGTCCGGCTTGTCGTGGTAGAAAAGCGTGAGACCAACCCAGCTGTCCTCCGTGCGCTCGTTGGTACGGCTCGCGCCGTCGTCCTTGTAGGCACACTGGCCCGTGGCGGAGAGCATCGCCGACAGGCGATTGTACTCCCGGTGGCGGTCATGATCATGGAGTCTCCGCCGTGGCTCTCGATGTACACGTACTCCTCGTACGACCTTCTGAACGAGCGTGGAGACGCCATCCAAGGCATTCTGGTCGAACCACTCCTGGGGTCCCGAGTGCACAACAGCGTTCATGGCCACCTCGCGGAGGGCCGGCAAGCCACTCGTAGGGGCAGCCTGCAGACGTGTCTTCTTAATGCAACTCGGCACGTCATCTACCAGGAACTTTCGCTTCCGCTCGAGCTCGAAATCGTCTCTGGGAATCGGCGGCACCGAAGGGCCGCCAGAACCCGATGCTCCCGGAGAAGCTTCCGGGTACGTGTCAGAGGACATCCGGCCTGGAGGGGAACGGGACCGCGCCCTCCTCGGAGGCGGAAGCTGCGGCAGCTGCTCCTGCTCAGGTGGCTCCTCCTCCTTAGCCTGTGCCTCAATAGCGCCAAGGGCCCTCAGGTCCACACGAGGCTGCCTGGACCCCTCGAGCTCCCTATGTCGGTCACGCTCCTTCTTCAGGAATGTCTTCTTCACCTTCTGAACCTTCACCTTGGGCGTGACGTCCACGATGTCGCGGTAGGCGCGATCATCTCGCTGCTGTGTCAGCCGCACGTCCGTCTGGATGGACTCCGCAGCCGCGGCCTCCTGAGAGGAGGCGTGCCGGAGCTGCTCACGAGCGACAAGTAGCACGTGACCACGCCATGATACGTAATACCGGCTGTTGGATTCCTTCGCGATCACAGTCGCAGGACCCCGCCATCTTTCAGGATCTTGCCGACGACGTCCCTTGAACGGATGCGGTGCCCAGAAATACACCCTCGATCCTGGGCACAGATCGCCGACGACCGTCGGCGCCTGTCGTAACAGAGCCCTCCGCACCTTGTCCGTCGCGTCGCGCTCCAGCAACATCATCTTGGCTGCGGTGCGGATTTGAGACGAACGCCAAGCTATGCCCTTGGCGCCGAGAACCGACATGAGAACCTCATCGTCGTCTCTGTTAGTCACCTCCGTAAATTTCCAGATCCGCCCGAAGACAGCCTGCTCCGGGGTCAATCCATTGCGGCTGATCGTCGAGTTCTTCGCATTGATGATGGCAGCCAGGGCCACAGTAGACATCGACTTGCCCTGGACGTGGAACTCGTGCGCCACCTTGCCCCAGATAGTGCCGAGCAATCCTCCGTGGCGCTCTGCCAGGCCATGCTGCCATGCTGCATGAGCTCCCGTCGTCTTCGTATTAATGCCGAACTGCTCCATCAGCGCGTTGAAGTAGCCCTCGAACTCGCCGCC